TTTTTTTTTGAGATGGAGCTTCGCTCTTGTTGCCCAGGCTGGAGTGCAATGGCGCAATCACGGCTCACCACAAACTCTGCCTCCTGGGTTCAAACGATTCTCTTGCCTCAGTCTCCCAAGTAGCTGGGACTACAGGCACACGCCACCACTCCCAGCTAATTTTTGTATTTTTAGTAGAGATGGGGTTTCACCATTTTTACCGGGATGGTCTTGATCTCCTGACCTTGTGATCTGCCTTCCTCGGCCTCCCAAAGTGCTGGGATTACAGGTGTGTGCCACCGCGCCCAGCCCACATACAAATCTTTTACTGTTACTGTGCGTGTTGCAAACAATGTTGCTTGGTGTCCCCTATTTTTTTTTTTTTTTTTAGGGACAGGGTCTCTGTCACCCAGGCTGGAGTGCAGTGGTGTAATCTCAGCTCACTGCAAACTCCGCCTCCTGGGTTCAAGCGATTCTCCTGCCTCAGCCTCCGAGTAACTGGGATTATAGGTACCCGCCACTGTGCCCATCTAATTTTTGTATTTTCAGTAGAGATGGGGTTTCACCATGTTGACCAGGCTGGTCTCAAACTCCTGACTTTGTGATCTGCCCGCCTCGGCCTCCTAAAGTGCTGGGATTACAAACATGAGCCACTGTGCCCGGCCGAGTTCTTTCAAACTGGAGAGGCCAGGGTGGCCTGGGGTGGTGCGTCGGGAGAACAGGGACAGCCCCTCCCCTGCAGGGCGCAAGGTCGGACTGAGGCTGAGCAGGCTTCCAGCACCCCCCACCCCACATGTCTTTCAGTGCATCCTGTCAATGATCATTGTTCTCATCGTGGAAGTCACAGCTGCCACCGTGGTCCTTCTTTTCTTTCCAATAGTAAGTACAGCACTGCTCCTCCCCCGCAGCATTAGAAAGATACAGAGCCAAGGCTGGGGGCAGTTGGTCATGCTTGTAATCCCAGCATTTTGGGAGGCTGAGGCGGGCGGATCACCTGAGGTCAGGAGTTCGAGACCAGCCTGACCAACATGGTGAAACCCTGTCTCTAGTAAAAGTACCAAAAAAAAAAAAAAAAAAGATTAGCCAGGCGTGATAGCACATGCCTGTTATCCCAGCTACTCAGGAGGCTGAGGCAGGAGAATCACTTGAACCCGGGAGGCAGAGGTTGCAGTGAACTGAGACTGTACTCCCGCACTCCAGTGTGGGTGACAGAATGAGGCTCCGTTTCAAAAAAAAGCAAAGATATAAAACCAGTAGAAACCCACCCCTCCCTGCCAGGCACCCACGATCGATTTGAGGACCCAGTGGTGGAGGGGCCCATCACAGGTACCTCCTTTGATGGAGTGATAGCTGAAATCCTTGGCCTGTCCCTCCAAGGCCTCAGGAAACCTGCTGAGTTCATTTAGTCCATCTCTCTTGTGTTTGGTGGCAGGAGAAGGGGAGGTGATCGGAAGTGCTTGCACACTGATTGGGGTTTTGAAACATATTCAAAATAGAGGGACAAGTTAGCAAAATCCACCCAAATGACAAAAGCTTCAGCACTTTGACCCGGCAGTCCCATCTCTGGGAATTATTCAAGGACTCACTTGCTGGTGTGCAGAATGACATTCATGCCAGGGCATGTGAAAGATTGCAAAGAGGACTGGACATGGTGGCTCTCACCCATAATCCTGGCACTTTGGGAGGCTGAGGCAAGTGAATCACCTGAGGTCAGGAGTTCGACACCAGCCTGGCCAACATGGTGAAACCCCATATCCACTAAAAATTAAAAAAGAATTAGCTGGGCTTGATGGCGTATGCCTGTAATCCCAGCTACTCGGGAGGCTGAGGGAGGAGAATCGCTTGAAGCCAGGAGACAGAGGTTGCAGTGAGCTGAGATTGCACCACTGCACTCCAGTCTGGGCAACAAGAGCAGAACTCCATCTGTCCATCCGTCCTTCCTTCCATCCATCCATCTGTCCATCCATCCGTCCAGAAAGAGAGAGAGAAAAGACTACAAAGACCTAGTGAATATGAAACTATGAACAAGGGTTTAGGCCAGTTAAAATACATCCACACAGTGGAGTCCTGAACACCCAGGTGCAGGGAAGGAGGCAGCTCTCTGGGCACCAAATGGAATGTTCTCCAGCGTAGAGTGCTGTCCTCCCCAGAGGCTGACCCTGAAACAAGAATTCCAAGGCATGTGGTTTATTTGGGAGGTGATCTCAGAAAGCACCTGCAGGGGACATGGGAAATGAGGCAGGTAAGGGAAGAAAGCCCACAAAAGGGGACACTGGGCACAGCACAGAACATGCACTTAAGTTATTCCACTCCAGTGGAGAGGGAGCTGGGGTATTGATCCAACAATGAATCGAGGGCTGCTCCCAGGGGGCACGTGGGCTGAGGCCAGAGAATCCTCACTTGCTGGCACTAGGGAGCCAGGGCAGTGGGCACAGAACTGACAAGGGCCACAGGGTTACGGGCCACCAAGAGCCCCTGCTACTCTTGTCGAGAGCAGCCAGATGCAGAAAAAACAAGTGCAGCATAAACCAAAGAGGAAAAATAGTGAAAATATGCTTTGCTTTGACACACATAGAACATCTCTTTGGGGGCACAGGAAACAGTTAACAGTCATTGGCATGGAGTGGGAGGGAGGAAATTTTTTGGCTAGGAGGAAGGGGTGGGAGAGAGACTTTTCATGGTGTGCCCTTCTGTGCATTGTCAATTTCAAACCACATGCCTCTATCATAGCTTTGCGAAAGGATTTTTTTTTAATCGTTATTTAAAAAACAGAAAATTAAATGTGCTCCTTTTGTGCAGAGAGAGATTCCGCGGAAGAAGATATTCAATTATTTAATGGAGTTTCAGCTCCATCGTGGGTGCAGCAGTCTGTGGGCGATTCCAAAGAGCACATGATTCAAATTTGTGTGTGATGGGTACAGAGAGATACCCTTGGCTCCAGACCCACATGTCTCCCTGTTTCCCTCTCTTGGGGGGCACAGTAGCCTCCAAGTGTCTTCCTCTAGCACAGACCCATGAGCTGAGGGTAGGAAAAACAAAGGCAGCACAAGGGAAGCCCCCACCTCCCTACGCTATCCTCCATGACCCTGGCCAACGAACCAGTGCCACCCTTGCTAGTTGGGGCACTGATCACTTCCTGTCCCATCTGTGAGGTTCGAGATGTGGCCTTGGAGCACAGCTTCGTGACCCTGAGGAAGAACTACAGAGGTTACAATGAGCCAGACGACTACTCTACACAGTGGAATTTGGTCATGGAGAAGGTGAGACTTGCTTCCAAAAAAAAAAAAAAAATAGTGGTAAAAGATACACAATGAAGGCCGGCCATGGTGGTTCACACCTGTCATCCCAGTGCTTTGGGAGGCCGAGGCAGGTGGATCACCTGAGGTTCGGGAGTTTGAGACCAGCCTGGCCAACATGGCGAAACCCCGTTTCTACTAAAAATACAAAAATTAGCCAAGTGTGGGGGCATGTGCCGAAATTCCAGCTGCTCAGGAGGTGGAGGTGGGAGAATCACTTGAGCCTGGGAGGCAGAGGCTGCAGCGAGCCGAGGTTGTGGCCACTGCATTCCAGTCTGGGCAACAAAGTGAGACTCCATCTCAAAAAAACAAAAACAAACAAACAAAAAAATGGCCAGGCTCGGTGGCTAACACCTTTAATCCCAGCACTTTGGAGGCCAAAGCAGGCAGATCACCTGAGGTCAGGAGTTTGAGACCATCCTGGCCAACATGGTGAAAGCCTGTCTCTACCAAAAATACAAAAATTAGCTGGGCATGGTGTCAGGCGCCTGTAATCCCAGCTACTCGGGAGGCTGAGACAGGAGAATCGCTTGAATCTGGGAGGCAGAGGTTGTAGTGAGTCAAGATCTCGCCACTGTACTCCAGCCTGGGCAAGAGGAGCAAAACTCTGTCTCAAAACAAACAAACAAACAAACTACTGAGATTGAGGAGCTGTTTGTTACTTCTGCATAACTTAGCCCAGGCTGGCTGATACAGGGATTGTGGCTAACCTGTTTCTTTTTCCCACATCCCCAGCTGTGGCTAATGTAGGAAGAGGGTTCACGGTGGCTGGGAACAATGGCTCACGCCTGTAGTCTGAGCACTTTGCAAGGCCGAGGCGGTGGATGACTTGAGGTCAGCAGTGCGAGGACAACCTGGCCAACATGGTGAAACCTGGTCTCTACTAAAAATACAAAAATTAACCTGGCGTTGATGGCAGGCCCCTGTAGTCCCGGCTACTTGGGAGGCTGAGGCAGGAGATTCGCTTGAACCTGGGAGGCGGAGGCTGCAGTGAGCTGAGATTGTGCCACTACACTCCAGCCTGGGCGACAGAGCGAGACTCTGTTGAAAAGAAAAGGGGGTTCATGGAAGGCCTTTCTGGGGAGCGACATTTGGATAGAGACCTGAATGAAATAAGGGGGAAAACCATGCAGATATTTAGAAGGACATTGCAGAAAGAGGAAACAGCCCATGCAAAGGCTCTGAGCCAGGAGCTAGCTGTGTTTGTGGACAGCAAAGGAACCAACGTGGCTGGAGCTGAATGAATAAAGGGGGGAGGACTGGGAGCAGGTAAGGGCAGGAGGTGACAGGCCGATTGCACAGGTCCTTATGGACCACTGAGGAGTTCAGCTTTTTTTTTTCTTCTTTTCTTTTTAGAGACAGGATGTTGCTGTGTTGTCCAGGCTGGAATGCAGTGGTGTGATCATAGCTCACTACAGCCTTGATCTCCTGGGCTCCAGCCATCCTCCAGCCTCAGCCTCTGGAGTAGCTGGGACTACAGGTGTCTGCCACTACGCCTGGCTAATTTTTAAATTTTTTGCCGAGATGGGGGTCTCACTCTGTTTCCCAGGCTAGGAGTTCAGCTTTTACCCTGAGTGAGATGGGAGCCAGGAAGGGTTCTGAGCTGGGCTGGGATGGTTATGAGGGATGTTTAGCAGTCTCTGGAATATTGTGGCCACACTGGACAGTAGCCATGAGAACCATGATTCCTGATGTTTTCATTATTTTATTATTTGAAAGGGACTGTCTAAGTATTTCTTCTCCTCTCTATAGCTAAAGTGCTGTGGGGTAAAGAACTACACAGATTTTTCTGGCTCTTCCTTCGAAATGACAACAGGCCACACTTACCCCAGGGGTTGCTGTAAATCCATCGGAACCGTGGCCTGTGATGGACGCAACGTGTCCACATACGTCATACACCAGAAGGTAACTGGAGATTTTGTGTGTTGCCTTGACAGATCCCTGAGGGCTGGTGACTTTCTTATTTTGAGATGGAGTTTCCCTCTTGTCGCCCAATCTGGAGTGCAGTGGTGTGATCTCGGCTCACTGCAACCTCTGCGTCCCAGGTTCAAGTGATTCTCCTGCCTCAGCCTCCCAAGTAGCTGGGATCACAGGCATGTACCACCACACCCGGCTAATTTTTTAATTTTAGTAGAGATGGGGTTTCACCATGTTGATCAGGTTGGTCTTTAACTTCAGGTGATCCACCCACCTTGGCCTCCCAAAGTACTGGAAGTACAGGCATGAGCCACCGCACCTGACTGCTCATCTAATTTTTTAGACTATTTATTGGAGAGACAGGGCCTTGCTATGTTGCTCAGGCTGGTCTTGAACTCCTGGCCTCAAACGATCCTTCCGTCTCAGCCCCCCAAGTATCTGGGACTACAGGTGCACACCACCACACCTGGCTAATTTTTGTATTTTTTGTAGAGACGGGGTTTTGCCATGTTATCCAGGCTGATCTTGAACTCCTGGGGTTAGGGAATCTGCCAGCCTCAGCCTCTCAAAGTGCTGAGATTACAGGCATGCCCAGCTTTATTTATTCATTTGTGGATGGAGTCTCAATTTGTCACCAGGCTAGAGTGCAGTGGTGCAATCTTGGCTCACTGCAACCTCTGACTCCTGGGTTCCAGTGATTCTCCTGCCTCCCGAGTAGCTGGGATTACAGGTGCACACCACCATGCCCAGCTAATTTTTATATCTTTAGTAGAGACAGGGTTTTACCATGTTCGCCAGTATGGTCTCGATGTCTTGACCTTGTGATTCACCTGCCTCATCTCCCAAAGTGCTGAGATTACAGGCATAAGCTACCGCACCTGGCCTATTTATTTATTTTTGAGACAGGGTCTTGCTCTGTCCCCTAGGCAGGAGTGCAGTGACATGATCATGGCTCTCACTGCAGCCTCAACTGTCTGGGCTGAAGCGATCCTCCTGCCTCAGTCTCTAAGTAGCTGGGACTACAGCTGCATGCCAGGCTAATTTTTAAATTTTTTTATAGAGATGGAGTCTCACTATGTTACCCAGGCTGCTGGTCTTGAACTCCTGGGCTCAAGTGATCCTCCTGTTTTGGCTTCCCAAAGTGCTGGGATTATAGACATGAGCCACCATGCCTGGCCTTTGATTCTTTTTCTCCTCTCAAAATTCTTGTAAAGCAGATAGATCCAAGGAGTACCATTTATAGATGGGAAAATGGTGTTCAGAGAGGTATAGTGACTTCTCCAAGGTCACACAGTTAGTAATAATCGAGGGTGTCCAATCACACTTAATCAGTACACTGGAACCTTAGCACAGACAAACAGAAGGGAGTCATCGGCATGTTCTACTGGGGGAATGAGGACAGGGAAGATGCTAGGTGGCAGGAGTAGGTGGCAGTCCATTGAGATGGAGCAAAGGCCCTTATGGCTCTGTCCCCTTCTCCTCAAAGGATCTGAGAGGCATCTGAGTGGCCCAGTGAGTTGGGGTTGATGACAACCCCAACATGGACTGCTCATGCAGTCCATGAGTCCCGAACCAGCTCCTGCTTGTGTTTTGGTGTTTGTTTCATCAGGGCTGTTTCCAGAAACTCCTGAAAATCACCAAGACTCAGAGCTTCACCCTGAGTGGGGGCTCTCTGGGAGCTGCAGTGATACAGGTAAGACCCAGCCTCCCTCGGGCACATCGAGCTGTTTTATTAAGCACTGACTGCCCAGACGTGGTGCCTCACACCTGTAATCCCAGCACTTCGGGAGGCTGAAGTGGGTGGATCAGCTGAGGTCAGGAGTTCAAGACCAGCCTGAACAACCTGGAGAAACCCTGTGTCTATGAAAAATACAAACTTACCTGGGAGTGGTAGCACATACCTGTAGTCCCAGCTACTCAGAAGGCTGAGGTAGAAGAATTGCTTGAACCCAGGAGGCGGCGGTTGTGAAGAGCCGAGATTGCACCATTGCATGCCAGACTGGGCAACAAGAG